GTTATGATTAAAACGGGTTTTCCAAAAGCCCTATATTTAATTAATTCTAATCATGAAATTAAAAAGTTCCAAACTTGACTAACAGTAGCTCCAACATGTAGCTTATGAAATTACGAAGCTAACACGATTTGAATGGGTCAATTCGGAGTTAAAACGACAATTCTATAAGCGAAAACAGTTGAATGGCATTTACGTAAAATCTGAAAGCGTACTTTTGACTTAACAAACGAAGTTTACGCTTTCTAAACAGGAATGCGTACTCGAGGAAATACGCTAAGGACGGCGGGTTAGGACTTAGAAAAATCCGAGGACTCTTTAGCAAATTTACCCCAAGGGTATCTTCTATTTCCGCCGTTGATCGCGCGATGGGACGGTTTGGATTAGCTCGGGGGTTTTACCGGCCGGAATAAAGTTGACTCGGCGAGGCAAGCCATGGCGGCGTGAAGCTCTCTGGCAAGCGGTAAGGAGCCCACGGTCCACCAAAATGGCCACCGAGGACACCCGTGAGATCGGAGGGTGTGGGGTTCGCGCCACAGCGAAGACGGCGGAGGAGGGCAATCGGGCGCGGGCGCCATGGCGGCGGCATGGAGCTCATGCGACGCTATGAAAGGGCGCTAAAAAGCCACGAAACTTGAAAAGAAATGCATGGGGAGAGAGAGGGGACCACGGCGAGCTCACCACGGCCGAAAAACGGAGGCGGTGACGAAGCGAGGATGGCGGACCACGGTGAGCAGCGGACGGCGGCGTTCTGTGAAGACCGGCGACCAAGAGTTAGCGATTGAAGGCGAAAAACAAGAAGATAAAGGCGGCAAGTGGTTCGTTACATCACGGCAAAGCTCGGCTGAGGGCGACGCGACGGCGGAGGCGACGGAAATTTGCTCGTCGCGCACGGTGGATCCGACGAGTGCTGCGGCGGTTGTTGCGGCTTCTTCGGCCCGAGCAAGTGCGAAAGGAGAGCGGGGAAAAGGCAGCAGGGGTGCGCGGAGGGTCTCGGCTCCTATTTATCGAGGCCGAGGAGCGGAGGGCGCTCCCACGACGCCGATCGTGGGCGGTGTCTTCTGGAATACGGGCGTGATTCCGAGCAGCCATGAGGGAAGGAAGAGGCGCCGACAGGTGAGGCCAATTTGGCCGATCGGGCGCGGGCGTGGGCGGTTGGCGGCCGAGTGGGTAACGGGCTGGGCTTCTTTGGCCGAACGGCCGAAGCTTGTGACCGGTATGCAGTACAGGCTGCTGAGGCTGGGTCTTGGTCAGTCAGGGGAAAGAAATGGCCATGGGGCGAAAAGTCCGAGAAGAGAGGAAAGAGGAATTTTCCTTTTCTTTTTCCAAACAAATTTTCCAAAAGCATTGTAAATACAAATTTCAATTAGATTTTGAACTCATTTGGAATTCGAATCAAAACCATTCATCTCAAAATAAATATGCAACAAGCATGTATGCATCACTTATGACTAACCTTATATTTGATTTTAGTTTTCACAAAATTATTTATTTCCTATATTTCAATGCTCACCAAAATTGCTTAAATAAATCAATTTGGTTATTTTTAGAAAATGCAAATTTAGGGTGTTACAGCACAACAATGAACCCATAACATAACTACATGCGCCTAGGTTTGCTAGCTTTTTCATGCCTTTGCATCATCCTACGGTTGTATAATACATATATTGAGGGATAGAATGAAACCCTAAGTGATGACGATTATTACGTTCAAAAATCCGACTAATACATACCGAATAGATGCGAAAAAAACTAGGAGAGGAGCGAGGATACATTTCTCTCGAAGATCTACGGATCAAATCAAAATTTCCAAAGTCAAATATGTCGATTCGTGAGGTAGGGTGAAGTGGGGAGAGAGAAAAACCCAAGAGGAAGGAGAAAGAAGAGGAAGAACGCTCGGGCAGGAAGGTTGGGCCGGGGTTAAATGGCAGGGAGCTCGGCACCGGTCACTCTGGCGCCGAGTGACTGGCGCCGAGCTCCCTGCCATGTCACCTTCCACGTTCGCTTCGAGCCTAGGAGCTCGACGCTAGGGATGCTGGCGCTGAGATGTGTTAGCTCGGCACTAGCATTAATGGCACCGAGCTAAGGATCCATATTCTGAAATCTTTCCTCCAGGGGTCTATTTGTGAGAAACTTTTAAAAAAAGGGCTAAAAAGTAAAAAAAATCGGCGTAGGCGATCCGCATGAAAGTCCTCGTCGGCTCGGCCGAATTTTTTATTTTTCAGCTCTTTTTTTAAAAAATATTCACAAATAAACCCTGGTGGTTTCATTTTCGTTTATGGACCCTGACCTCGGCGTCATGGCTTTTGGCGCCGAGGAAACATGTCTCGGCGCCATGGACAATGGCGCCGAGGTCTTGGCAAGGCGTCGGACGTGGCGGTGACCTGGCGCCGACGTAGACAAGGCCTCGGCGCCGTAGATCTTGACGTCGAGCTCAGCGCCGTAGATCTTGGCGCCGAGCTCGGTGCCGTAGATCTTGGCGCCGAGCTATTACCCTATAGATCTCGGCATTTTAAATGAAACAAGTATAATTGTAACGAGGAACATGCAACAACGTCATTGTGGCTCAGCTGGTTAGGACGCACGCGACTTAGCCCAACGTCCTGGGTTCAAACCCAGTGCTGAATCTTTTTTTCTTATAAAATTAACTCAATTTTCAACCCTTTCATTCACAGACGATGTGGTTTGTAGATCAAAGGGTTAATGACGCAAGTCTAGGTGCAAATTGCAACCAGAGTGAGATCCATGCCCCCACATTTCCTACTACTCCTAGCTACTAGTACTAGTAGCAATGAAAGGCAGCATGGTGCCAAGAGAAAGCAAACAAGAACACTGGTTTTTTTTTACCTGCAAAAAAAATAAAAAATAGTGGAACGCTAGCTAGCTAGTCAGTGAATAAAAAAGTTGCTACACTGACACGGGTGTCCGGCATGATTACTTTACCCATTGCTGTAAACATTTTTTTTCTTTCTTTCCGTGTTAAAAAGATCACCAGTACTCCGTACATATTACACAGTGCATGAGATAATAAGGAGATTATGCGTGGAATGGGGATATTTATCAGGACGGTCTAGATATATATGATATGAAGGACTGGCCCATGTGGCACGGCTCCGAAATCTCCAGCTAGCTCGTCGTCCTTTCCGAAACTAATCATATTTTCGCACAGTACACCACATGTACGTAAATTTATTTATGCCGCTCACGGTCGACTTGAGTTCACACGGATGATATATCGTTTTCGGTGTGGCGGTGGTGTGGCCACATGCTGGTTCACATGCGCATGTCGATGCATGTCGGAGAGAACATAGTTTTAACCGGCCTCAGAAAAGAGCGTTTGCCATACCATACCTCTCTCTGCTTAAAAAGGAGCAAATGGCAGGAACATGCAACAGGGAAGAAAAGAATGTGATCACACCAAAACAAAAGTCTCCTTAACCTAAATAAATAATTTGTTCAGTAAGAATTTTGGTTTTTGCTGGGGCAGTTCGATATATCAAAAGGGGTGAAAATCGAGTTAATTTTATAAGCAAAAAAAGATTCAATGCTGGGTTCAAACCCAAGACGTTGGGTTAAGTCGCGCGCGTCCTAACCAGCTAAACCACAATGATGTTGTTTCATGTTTCTCGGAACAATTATACTTGTTTCATTTCAAACGCCAAGATCTATAGGGTAACAACTCGGCACTAAGATCTACGGCGCCGAGGCCATGTCCACGTTGGCGCCAGGTCACCGCCACGTCCGACGCCTCACCAAGACCTCGGCGCCATTGTCCATGGCGCCGAGACGTGTTTCCTCGACGCCAAAAGCTATGGCGCCAAGGTCAAGGTCCATAAACGAAAATGAAACCACTAGGGGTCTATTTGTGAATATTTTTCAAAAAAAAGGCTGAAAATAAAAAATTTGTTCGGCTCATCCAGGACAGCAGTAGCCACGCACACACGCAGGACCGATCTTTAGTACAAAAATTAGCACTATTTTTAGGTGCTGATTTGGGAGTTATTGTTGGAGTTGCTCTCGCCCTGGCTCTGCCGGAGATCTCACCGGGAGGGGCCTCATCGAAGAGCAGCGCACCGGCGTTGCAGCGGCTAGCGCGGCGGAGCAGTGCACCGATGGAGCTGGCTCGCGAGGTGGAGCAGGCCAGCAGCGCACCGACGGGGAGCGCGCCATGCGGTGGAGAGAGGCCGCGCGGTTTCCGTATGGGTGCTGGGAGGAATCGCAGGATGGGGGGCCGGGGTGTTGAGCCAATAGGAATTGGGTTCATGGGGGAGATTTAGGTTGCCCACCCTAAATTAGGGGCTCTAGGGGCCCTGCTGGAGCTGCGTTTTTTACCTGAGCACCCATATTTAGTTATGAGAGCTCTAGTAAGGGTCCTGCTGGAGTTGCTCTAAGGGATTTAAGTTTAGCAAGCCACTTGGAGATTCTCTAACTACTATTAGTTGGTGGATCCACATAGGGCCTAAGACTGATGCAATGCAAAACAGAGCCATGGTCTGCAAAGACATTTTTGTTAGTTGCACCCGAAATAAAGATATAAAGGATTTAAGTTTAGCAACTCTTGGTGATGCTGATGATCTAAGAGCATCTCCAAGAGCCTTTCTAAATCTCACTCTCTAGATCATCATTTGGAGAGCCATTTGCATAAAAATCGTTTTCTATATATTTTCAGTCTCCAACAGTTTTTCTATACCTCGTGCGCACTTTAGAAAGCCATTCTCGTCTTCTATTTTTGGCTAGCGAAAAATCCAGAATAGAATATGGCTATATTTGGATGACCATTTAGAAAAGCTGTTGGAGGATAGTTTTTCATCAAAATCTCTATTCCTAGCATTTAGAAATAATATGAAGAGTCTCTTGGAGATGCTCTGACCATTAGTTGGCGGACCTAAATAGGACCTAAGACTAATGCAATGCAAAACAGAGCCACGGATTGCAAAGACCTTTTTAGAACAGAAACCGCAGCTCCCACCCCATTCCTTTCAGTACTGGCTTCCCTATAAAAGGGACCCGGCCAGCGTCTCGTCTCACAAGCAGTCCTGCCCTGCCCCTTGCCTTGTGGTGAAGAAGCTGATCCTCAAGGTGAACCTGAACCCCAAGGTGAGACTCTCTTGTGATCCAATGACCTGAACATGTTGATTCAAACCTTAGAATGCATTTTCCTTTCTCGGGAGTGAATCTCAGTGACTAAGGATGTGTCCGTCTTTCCCTTTGACTTCAGTTTTTTTTTGTGTGTGTGGAAAAGAGTACACAAAGGAAAACACAACAAGAGTACAGAGTTACAAACTCAAGAGACAAAAAAAAGGAAAAGAAGAAAATTAACAAAATAACACAAAGACTTCTAGCCACGGACAAAGATTAAAACGCTGCTTTTTCTTTGCTCTGAGTATAACCCGAGCAAACTCCTCCTTGAAGATTGGTTTTACGTGTCGCCATTTCATTTGGACAATGGACTTTTGCACCACTACATTCAGGGACGGAGCCACATAGATTTCTATGAATATCAAACTTTTTTTGCCACAAAAATCAAGTATATATATATCTTGAGTATACACATACATATATGTTGTATTGAGTATACAACTGACAGACCATGAGGCCACATGTTCACATCTCCCATCGATCCGTCTGCTGCAGCACGCACGTGAGAGTGAGAAGCACTGCCTCCTCTCTATCCTCCCCATTCCATTATACCCTAAAATACTTTCGTGAAAGGGGATTTAGAAATCAACATATGAGAAAAAGTATTATAAACTCTAGTCAAAAAGTTCACAGGCGATGGGGTCGAGACTCAAGACACAGGGTCGAGAAAAGTGGTAGGCTACTTGCTAGAGATTTTTAAAAGACAAGGTCAAAAATGACTCCACATGTCCTGGTCAGGGTCGACATTCTCGGGTTGAGGGTCGATGCCTTCGACCTTGTTTTATGTGACCATGTTATAAACTTCGAAAAAATTCTATATGTCATGGAGCATCTTCAGATTGAAAGACTTGTATCATTGCAAAAAAAAATTGCATTTTTGTATTGGGTATATTTATTATTTTAATCTATGGGAATACCCAAGTTCTCAATCCTAACCCCGCCACGGCAGCCTGTTCGCTTGCTCGTAAACGATCGTAAATTTCCAGCCGGGAACAGTGTTTTTCTCTCACACCAAACCAGCCAGCAGTAAATAATCCACGATACGATACGGCCTCCCGAACAGGCTGCATGTTGATGCAGTAGCATGATACCGTTGTTTTGATGAGAACAGAGGTGCTCCTTGGTTTGACAACTCTTCCGTTGTACTTTATTCTTTATTATTAATTTAATTAGTTAGTTGTGCGGGCAGGTTGTTTAGAACATTAGAATATTTAAATTATTTTATACCACTCATCTGTCAAACTATCATTTACCCCGGCCTGTTCGAAACAATCAACCTACTCTAAAATAGAGAGAAAAACAAAAAAAAATGAGTATAGTCATAATAATGTAGCATAATTGCCCGTAAAAAACAATAAAGTATAGCGTAATTACCACACAACATAAAGTCTTCGTGCACATCAAGCTTGACTCTCAAAAGGGAACAACAAAGTTTATAAACTTGGAACAATCAACATAAAGATATGTGGAAATAGCATATGAATGTGAAATAATTTATTTTGACACAATGACGACTTCCATAAATTCTGCAAAGGAATTTCTTTTTTGACGATTTTGCAGACTTTCAGCATCTAAGATGTTGTGAGCACATTTTGAGTCATATATAGTAGGATAACTCTTGTTTATCAAAATATTATATTTATATATGCTAAATTAATTTTCAGAAATGTTTTTTCACAAATTTAAAATCATTGGAGTCTCTTATTAGAGCTCTTGAAGAAAAACATGTTTTCAATATATAGATTGATAGCTATATTCTATATTCTGTATACTACACTACACTGTACACAAAAGATATTCTATATTCTAAGCTTTTCTCTTCCTAGTTGATTATATATAGAGAGTCATACAGAGATATAGAGAGAATAGGAGTCAGCTAAAATCAAAGCTAATTACGTTGCTGTTTAAAGGTAAGGCGTGTATATAAAGTTAAAGCTATGCATACACTGTTTTCTTCTGTTAGTATAGTTTTGAGTTAATAGCTTGATAGATATTAGAAATTTTTTGGTCAAATCAACTTGTTATGTTTTACATAAAAATTATCATGAATTATCACATTTTGAAATAGTTATGTTAAGATGTAAAATAATTGTCGCAGTTTGAAATTGTAATGACAATCTTGGATCATAATGACCTCGTTTGGTAGCCAGCTTTTTAGCTGGCTTTTTAGCTATGGAGCTTTTTATCTTGTTGATTTGATCAAAGAAACCAACAGAAGTGTTTGGTTGTTTGGTTGGCCTAAAAGCCAGATGAAAAGCCATTTTTCAATAAGCCATTCCGACTTTTTGGCTTTTTAGCTATTTAGCTTGTTACTTATGCTTTTAAACAATAAACAACAAGTTACCAAACAGCAGTTGATTTACCAAACACCTTCTGAACCAGCTGATCGACAGAACCAGATAGCCATGTGAGCCCCAAACAGCTGCCTTTTCCAGCCGGTCAAACAAGCCAACCAAAGCAGCCAACAGCTGTTTACCAAATGGGGCTAACAATTAATCTTAGGCACTATAATATGACAAGTTCCACTCAAAAGTTAGATGAAATAGTTACACCCAAAAACTATTGATATGTGTAATATGTTATTATGTTGTAAGTCTATATGACTGACTAGTGACTAGCACTATATATTTAATTTTCAGGTTTACATCATGTCTCGTAAGCCAGTTGATTTAAGTCCAGGGCAGCTGCATAAGCTAGCCGAGTTGATCCATAGACAAGAAGTGCAGAAGCTTAAAGAGCTCCAGTTCACGTCATATGCTGAGCAACAAGAGTATCTCCATGTTGCCAAAGACGCCCGTGATGTGGTGTACCACATCCTTGATAGTGCACAGGAAATGGTAACGCAGACGGAGGCCGAGAAGGACACCACCAAGCAAGATATTGCCAAGGATGTCTATGAATACTGCACCAAAGGCATCCAAACATCCCTACAATTCATTCGTAGTTGCAACACCCGTCACACCTACCTTGACAAGCTCAAGAGCCACAGTGATGATCTCATCAAGCAGCTAAAGTGGCTCGATCCAGCCACCCAACAGAAGGAAGCTCAACGTCTTGCTCTTGAGGCCGGCACGTATAAAAAAGCCGTGCTTGAGTATGCCGAAAAGTTTCAGCATTTTATCCCAAATCAATTCTCAAGATGGCTCAAGGAAAACAACATCAATTTTGAGGATCTTGTGAAACGGTATGTCCCTACATCATCACCATCATTATTATCAATATTATTTATCTTACACAATGGGAATTTGAAACCAAAATTGATAAAATTATTCGATCTCACAAGTGTTGGATTAAATCACAAGGTTATTTAACTTTGGTTTATGAAAATAGTAAGATATTGAACTTTACTGAAATTTGTAGAAATTTTGGTGTACTTGCTTAACATTGCTTAGAACAAACAAAACAATTTTGGAAACACTTAGAGAACATAATATTTGTTTACTCTTTAGATTTAACGATAGTACTTTTGTAGTACTCACAACAATTGTTTTCCTGCCTGTCCCATGGTACTTGCAGAAATACGGCAAAGCTTGGTTTTAATAAGCCTTTTAAAAACTTGGATAATATCCAAAAGCTACAGGTATGAACTAACTTACTCTCTAAACCTTGCCCTTTACAGGCCTATCATAAATTAATTGCTAAATGAACAATGTTTAAGGTACCATAGTACACTTTTTTTCTCAGTTTTAAATATTATATTATTATTCCAATTTATATATATAAAAGTTTGTGGTACTGTATTTCGAACAAAAGTTTTAATAAGGAAAGAAGTCGGGACATAAAATGATTTATTATGTTCTTAAGAGCTGCCATTTGTTGAACTGAACTAAACTGAATTGAAGTTGTTGAATTTGGTGATTCAATATCCATTTTTGACCATCTAAACTATATGTAAGGCATAGCAATATCGTAATCAAATGAAAAATTTATATCAAAAACTTTCCAATGGTACTTGAATCATTCTGGAATTGATTCCGATGAGAAGTTGTCAAGCTCTGGAGTTTTCGAGTTGTACTAAACTGAAATAACTTCATGACAAAAGAACAGGGCCTTACTTAATATATCTTGGAATTGAGCATATATAGTGAACACTAAAGTGGAGTCATTTCTTCATAAAATGGTTCCTCCGTTAGAATCGGTTTGAACCTTTTCTAACTTTGGAGTGAGGTCATTTTAGTTTTGGGTTTTATGATAAGATGATATCATGATAAATTTTAATCATAATGTGGCGTGTTAATTCCTTGAGAAAGTAGCTAGGGGGTTATATATTGTATGGTAAAGTGGTACTTGAATATATATCACTTAAATGTTTCATGTTCGTCAGGTATATGAAACTATTATTGAGGAAGCGGGTCAAGGAAAATCTGTGGTGACTTACTCAGTTGATGCTTTGGGAAAAGTCGGGGTTGCATTTTTGGTTTTTACAGCAGCAGCAATGGTGTGGGACATATACACAGCAGAGGATAAGACGGAGGCAGCAGTTCGTAATGCAGTGAGTGCGTTAAGTGAAGTAGTTACCCTTGCGATCAGTGAGGTAGCTAATGTTGCTATACAAGCTGGACTCCGAGCGCTTAGCATTGAACTCGCTTCTGCAACTGTCACGGTAATCGGAGCAGTCGCTGGGTTTGGAATTGGTGTGGTCATTGGGATAGCTGCAGGTGCGCTGCTTGACTTGATTTTCAGCTCTGGAACGGTGGACATCACAGAAGGGCTTACCCCTTGTCGTGTGGCTCCTATGCCCGATGGTCTCGAACTGGCTCGTCTAGTTAAGCATAATTACCCCGACCTGTAAACTGATTATTATATGCTACTATACGTGGATCACAAGAGCCGTGATGCAATTTCGTGGCAGAAGAATAAGTGCTGTTATTAGTGGCGTGCGTCCATGGACTTGAGTTTAGTAATATACTAAATATGGCATTCGTGGATGTTATCCCTTCGCATCTACTTTTTTTTTAGTTTATATATGAAAGAAAAACGAAGTGAGTAGTGTGGCTGCTTTGACAAAAAAAAAATGCTAGCTTTACTATTCTGTTCACGTGTGTCTACGGCCTGTTTGTTTCCTTCGTTGAGGGCCTTAGGGACAGGGCGGTCTCTCTTTTTTTTTTTTGAATTACAGCATACACTCACAACGCACGCACATTCACCCTATGAACGCATGCACGGAAACCCTACCCATATAAGCACCTCTGTAAGATTACGCCGGCAGATCTCGAGATTGACAAAGACACCATAGACACCTCGCTTTCGACGGGAACGTTGCCTACCACTAAAAGCAAAACACCGTTAAATCTTGGAATAAAAATCCAGAAAAATACGAGCACCCATACTAAGTCGTCGAGGACTTAAGCAGGTTCTATCACAAGAAACCGATGAGCTAGGCTCGGTTCGCTAGGCCGGCCTCTTGTTTGTTATCTTCGATGGCTCACAGGCCAGGCTAGGTATTTAAAGCACAACGAGAGCCTATATCCAGAAAAACAAAAATGGATTTGGTTTTTAGGGTCTGACTCAATCCGTGTGGCCTAAGTGGTTGTTTGCATCACCTCGCAACCCCTTTCATCTCACTCACCGCCACCCTGTTCTTCTCCCCATGCATGAGACGAACGATGATGCGCCTCCGCAGTCCGGTTGCAGCCGTGGCGCGGAGATGAGGACTACTAGCGGCACCATCTCTGAGGTGAAGCGTGAATGCCGACGTTGTTGTGCGGAACTCGGCCCCAGGCATGGCCATTGGTGCGGGCGAAGTGGAGCAGAGCGGGCGAAGTTTGCTACGCCTATAGACATCAAGCTCAAACCAAATGTGTTTGGAGATGTCCTCTGAAAAGTCCATGTATTTGAGCTTTATGTGTTAGTTGATCTCCACCGGTCTATTGGGCCCTTGTCTCTGCTCCCTGATCGGGGGAGCCCAACCCTAATACGGTTGGTGGGCCCCTGTCGCACAGCACATATAAAAGGTAAGGTGGGGATCAGGGCTTAGACCATGAGGTTCAACGGAGCCGCTGTACCCACCGATAGAGAAAACCTAAACCGATCTAAAGCAGTGCTGCCAGCGACGGGATGCCCCACCGCACCACCGTCGCCCCTACAGGGTCACCACCGTCGCCACTGGACATCCACGGCATCGCCACCACGACGCCTACAACGTCGCAATACCGGCGTCTACGTCGGAGCTGCCACGACATCGGTGGCCAAGTACCAAAGGTGACCTATACGAAGGTACACCAACTATTTTTCCCCATCTAGTAGAAGCTCTACCCCGATCTATGGTCTAGAGGTCCACTGTGATCCTAACAATGGTACCAGAGCCGGTTTACAGTATGGGGTAGAGCATAGAAAATAAAGAACAAGGGTTAAATCCATTTCGGATTGAAACCCTAACCCTAACTGGGTAAAAGAAAAGAGAAGAAAGATCAGGGGGTGGCGGACGTCACTAAACTCCCAGTCACCACCGCCACCGCGCGGGGAAAGTTGCCACACCGCCATCTTCGCCGGCGCGCGGCAAGAAAAGAACAGTCCTCTGTTCGGATCTGAGAAGAAAATCCAGAAAAAGATCCAAAAGAAAAGAAGGGGAAAAGAGAAAGGAACGGAGAAAAGAACCCTAACCCTAACTCGTGACGAAGAAGGGAAGAGAATGATTCGGTACAAATAGAAAAGAAAGAAAAGAATCAAATAAATGAGATGAACCGAAACGAACAGAAACCCTAACCCTAGATCCCCAAATCGGTTGAATCCGAGAAGAAAAGAAAGGAAAACCAAAGAAAGAAGAAGAAAAGGAAGGGCCCTCGGCACACGAAGCCGAACCCTAAAACCGTAGAGTCCCTCTGGGGAAGATAAACAGTGCCATCCCGAAACCCTAACCCTAACACAATTAAACCCTAACCCATCCCAATCGGTCAAAACTGAGAAGAGCAAACAGATCCAAATCCGTTTGGGGAATAAGGGGAAAGGGAGACCTACCTCGCCGTTGCGCAGCGTTGCTATCACGCCGGCGCGCGGGGAAAAGAAAGGGCCGAGCCGGGGGCACTGCTCGCCGGGCTCTGGCCAAAGAGGCACCACGGCCAGGCCACTCGACGGTGGCGCGCTCACCCGCTAGGGAGCGCGCACGCCGGCGAGGGGGCCGGCAACGGCGCCGTTGCTCCACTGCTTCGCCTGCTCGTCGCTCGGTGCTGCGGTACTGAAGAGAGAAGAGAGAGCGGCGAAGAGAGAGAGAGCAGGGGAGAAAGTGAGCTAGGGTTTTTGAGGAGGCCGGCGTCGGCGGGTTTTTATTCACCCGAACTCACCGCCCGGCCGTCGGATTGGCGCGGACGGCCGAGATCAAGCGGGCCAGCGATGCAGCCTAGGCGGGCGCGCGCAGCCGAGTCGCTTTGCCGACCCAGGCCCAGGTTGCGGCCTGGGTGCGGCCGAGCGCCACGCAGAGCCGTGGGCCGAGTTGATTTTGGCCGTTTTGGGCCGAGAAAGAAAGAGCAAGAGCCCGTTTTTCATATTTTTCTTTTTCTAGGAAATTGAAAAAAAAATGGAAATTGGCTCAAAAGTAAATAGAAAAAGAATTTCCCTATGGGTAAAATTCAAGAAATTGAATATATGTTTTTCGCTGCTAAAAAAATTGTTTATTCTCCAGTTATTTTGAACCAACGTGATATTTAATTGGAGAAAAAGAGAGTTTTTCCGTTGCTAAAGAAATTGTTTATTCTCCTGTTATTTTGAACCATCGTGATATTTAATTGGAGAAAAAGAGACTTTGACATGATTATGATGTTGTTATTTTCTGACCAACATTGTTAATAACAATATCGTAATTTTAATGATTTATGCATTAATTCTATTTCTGCCCAACGGTGATGTAGAATTAGTGTATAAGAACAGTTGTAAAATAAATTTAATGATTTATGCATTAATTCTATTTCTGTTCAACGGTGATATAGAATTAGTGTGTAAGAACAATTGTGAATTTTAATAATTTTATACATTAATTCTATTTCTGCCCAACGGTGATGTAGAATTAGTGTATACGAACAGTTGTATGTTTTGATTTTGACTAACGTTGGAATCAAGGCATGCAAATGGTGTTATTTTTATGTTAAGAAAAGGTTTGACCTGGTTTTCATCTTGTCTAAGGTGGACTGGGTAGTCACCTCGCCGTGTTCCACAGAGCCTGTGGCACCGGTGAGGGAGACAAGCAAGGTCGATGCCGTTTGGACAACTAAAGAGTGGGATTTTGAATCGCGAAAGATGTCCTATGCCCTCGTGTATAGGAAGTGGGTCACTGCCAACCAGAAATGTTTTTCTGTGATAAAGAATACGATTGAGCCTGTAATTGTGGGCTCAATCACAGAGTGTGACACGATCACTGAGTACCTCGATAGAATAAAAAGTCAGTTCACTGGCTCTTCAAAGACATATGCTACCTAGTTGATAAAGCAGCTAGTGACAGAGACTTACTCTGGAAATGTTGGCATAAGAGAGCTCACGATGCGTCGTCGAAATTATGGCACTATCGTTTAGGCCGTATTTCGAGAGGGAGAATAGAAAGACGAGTTAAGAATAATATTCTTCCTCCATTAGAGCTCTCAGATTTAGAACAATGCAGAGAATGCATAAAAGAAAAGTATGTAAAGAAAGTTAAGAAAGATGTCAAAAGAAGCGCAGGAATTTAACAGATTATTCACACAGACATCTGTGGTCAGTTTCCTATAAAGAGTGTGGATGGTTATGTTTCGTTCATAACATTCACAGATGATTACTCCCATTATGGCTATATTTATCCAATCAAAGAAAGAAAAGAAGCATTGGATAAATTTAAGATATTTAAGGTAAAAGTTAAAAATCAACATAATTTAAAGATTAAGATAGTCAGGTCCAACCGTGGGGGAGTACTACGGTCGGCATACCCCATATGGCCAAGTTTCTAGACCTTTTGTAAGGTTCTTACAGGAGAATGTCATAGTAGCCCAGTATTCTATACCGGATGAACCTCAGCATAATGGAATAGCTGAAAGACAGAATTATACCCTGATGGATATGGTGTGCAGTATGATAAGTTACTCCACCTTACAGTTGAACCTGTGGACGGAGGCGTTAAAAACCGCCATTCATATTCTCAATAAAGTACCAAGTAAGTCGGTGCCCAAAACACCGTATGAGTTGTGGACAGGAAGAGTACCCTCACTAAACCACTTGAGTGTGTGGGGGAGCCCTACTGAGGCTAAAGTATTTAACTCAAACATTGGAAAGTTAGATCCCAAAATAATAAGTTTGTCATTTCATTGGCTACCCAGAAAAGTCAAAAGGTCTTTGTTTCTACTGTCCAAATAGACATTCAAAGGTTGTGGAAACGAGACACGCTGTCTTCCTAGAGGATGAATTGATGAGGGGGAGCATGGTAGCTCGAGAAATTAACCTTGAAGTGAAGCGGGTGTATGCGCCCACTCCAATGATTCATGAGCCAATTTTCTCACTACATGTTGTCGCTGCATCGACAGTGCAAGATACTATGGTGTCAGCACCTATTGTTATTCCACCTGTGGCAACAATGAATAAAAATGAGGAACCTGTTCTTTAGGATCCTATAGAACCCATTGCCACACATGAGGGGAGCAACAACAGCCTCAAACAGAAGATGTGCCAAATATGAAGGCCCCTAGAAGGTCTCAAAGAGTTAAAAAATCAGCTATTCCTGCTGATTATGAAGTGTACAACACTAAGGAATTTCAAATGAAGGATGATCCCACCTCATTTAAGAAGCCATGAGAAGTGATCATTCATCAAAGTGGCTTAAGGCCATGAAAGATGAAA